TTCTCTTGGATTATTTCTCTTGGATTATTTCTCTTGGATTATTTCTCTTGGATTATTTCTCTTGGATTATTTCTCTTGGATTATTTCTCTTGGATTATTTCTCTTGCTTCTCCCTGGCAGTTCCCAGGCAGTGCTGGCAGTGCTGTCCACTGTACTGTGGGCAGAGAGGGAAAGAGGAAGAAGAGTCTGAGATGAAGGGTGGTGAGGTTGTGTTGTGCTGAGGACTGCACTGAAACTGTGCTTGGAAGCTGTGCAATGGGCTGTTCTGGGAACACCACCATTACCCTGGTCATGCTGCTTTTCCTGACCTCTGACTGATCTCCCTCCTCAGTCCTGTCTGCAGAAAGTCCTTGTCTGCCTTCCCATTCCACAGCCAGGATGTGACCTTCTCTTCCAGTCTCACCTGGCCTAGGCCAGCTTTCCTTGGCAAGGATGTGCCTTGCTTCCCCATGAAGAGGAGTCTGCCCTGCATCCAGTGGACTATATTTCACATCAGTGGTTTGCAGCATGTGTTCTGCTTCCTGCTGCATTGCTGTAACAGTTTGTTCCATCAATATATTTTACCAGAAAAAGGTGCTGAGAGACAGAAAGTATTTACATTTAAAGTAGTCCGTGGTTAATGAGGCACCTCTGAGAGATGTCCCATGAGGCCTGTGACTCCTCTTTTCTCTCAGAGGAATTTCTGTTCCACCTACATTCTGTCACCACCCCAGAATCCCCTTTAGAGGATGGAAATGGTGGTTAGAGGCATCCTGGAACACAGTTAGCAGTCTTGGAGAGGGAAATGGTTTGACTATCTTGTCCTATTTGATACGTTGCCATAAAGTTAGTTATGCTTCCTGCTTAGGACCAAATGAGATAATGAAATGTAAACAGAGATAGAACTCCATTCATCTAAGGTTCTCTGTAGCTTGGAAATGGTATTGGCTTGTTTGTGAAGCAGCCACAGTCTCTTCTGTGTCCCTGGTTTTACTTTAAGTGCTTTGTTTCTGTCACAGGTCATATGGAGACTTCTACCTGACTTTACCCGCAGACAGGAGCGAAGTACATTGTTCAAGGCCCCAGGGTGAATCCATGGCATGAGCAGAGCCCTTAGCTATGAATCCCTGCTCCTCAGCCCTTCCTCTTCCCTTCTTGACCCTGGTGTTTTGTACCCTTTCACACACAGTCATTATCTTCTGATTCTTCTGCCTGTCCTTCAGGGTGAGTGACGAGATATGCTGCAGGAGATTCAACTCACCTGCGACAAAAGCTCTGCAAATAGACTATCTGTGACAGCATAGAATGACACTGGAAAAGTGTCATTAGTTCTCCTTTATAAGGCCTTGGTTTTCCACAGCAGAGCCTGGGACGTGCTGCAGAGGATCCATGAGTAGGCTGTCACACGCTGCAACGTATGATCTCAAGATGAGGAAATCCCAGTGGGACAGTGCTGGTATACTCTGGAAATACTAGACCTGACTGCATGAGGCACTGTGGTAACCCCCCAGCGCTGTATCCTGTCTTCCAAGCAGAGCAAACACTTGCTTTTTCCAGGCCTCTTTTCTCCCATTCTGTCCCTGTACCTTGAACAATCAATTTATCTCTTAACTTTTGGCCAGTCTGGGCAATTCTGCTGTGTCAGAAACATTAACCTCCTGGAAATGAAACATTCCTGGTGGATTTCTACCCCTTGCAGAAGTAGAGTTCCAGTTCCTTGAGCTCCCCACAGCCTTTAAGGTGTTCAGTCATTGGATGTTGCCATTTAATGGCAAAATTGATGCAAGTTTTGTTCTGTGATGCCCTGCTGCAATTGCAAGGCACCACAGTTCTGCAAGCATCCAGACTCGGCCGGTCAGACCCACCTGTTGAAGCAAGGTCTTCTGAGCTGTGCTCCTTGAGGAGATCAGAGTGAATGTACACAATACTCCTGGCCTAGTTGTTCCAGGAAAAAGAGAATATATGTGCATTATGTGCACGTAATAATAATAATAATAATAATAATAATAATATATGTGCTATATGTCCATTTTGGAGAAGAGCCGTGTATCCCCCATGAGACAGTGTTATCCTTTGGAGATTGGTGTATAAGTTCTACATTTTTAGTACCTTTCTTTTTGTAGGATCCAATGGAAGAAAGCTCTACTTGTGGAAAGACTTTGCCAGGAAAGTTGAGAGGATGTCTTTGAGAAGGCAGCAACTCCTTTTCCAGTTGGAAGACTGCTACAGTCTTTTTTTTCTAGTGCAAATCAATTATTTCTGAGCCATAGGTGTAGGAACTTGCTGTGTTGACTGATGTGGGTGCTTGAAAGCACACACAGGTACCAGGAACTCACAGTTATGAGAATATGTATGTATAGTTTAAGCACTAATTCACTTTTTCTGACACTGATAGGAAAAAACGTGCTCCCTGCTCTATAGGTGTGGTGGTGGTTATTTTGACAACCTGATTACTGGTCTACAGAAGCAAAACCCCAAGTCCTTGACAAATTCTTTGTAAAAATGCTTGTGGCAAAACCAGAACTGGGTTTGATCTGCAGTCTGAAATATTTGACTAGAACATCAAAGTGGCTTTGGAGAGGAAGGGTTACTTGGTAGGACCGATGTTGCAATTTACCTGATTCTTTTCCAACTCTAGATATTTCTGACATGGATGTTGTAATCTTATTTCTAAATACCCATATTTCCTAAATACTTGGCATTTGGCCTTGTTTGTCATTGGATTCTTCTGAAAAATCAGTACTTACCTAATCACTTTGTCACTGAACAGTCACTGAATCATGACAGTGGTCTTCTATATGCATTTATATATGCTTACAGGAAACAGGACCATGATCTAAAGGCTGTTCTGATCAGTATTAGTGTGCAGGAAATTTGTGTAAATGTCTTTTTGGTGGTTATTACAGTATAACTAAGCTGTTAACAATAGTGCTCTTCCAAATCATTAAATCTCCTTACAACTCAGCAATAATAACATCTTAGTTTGTTCTGCTGGTGCCTGCTGCCTTGCTCAGTTTAAGGGCCCAATCCAACCACAACTGAAGTGGAAAGAGATATTTTGGTTGGACTTGACTGGCTTTCATAGAAGTAAAGCTTTTTGGACACACTGGCTGTAGTATTTCTCCCTTGAACAGAATTTTTAAGGGCTGAAGATACGGGTGAAATGTGTCACTTATAGGAATTCTTTGAGGTCTTCACCCTTCCCTCCTTCCCCCACCACCCATCCCTGACTGTAAGAGAGAACAGCCGCTTTTCTGTCCGGCTTGAAGGTGGTTCTTTTAAAATCAGATCAAAACTTGTAGCCAAGCTACCCAGACTGGGAGTTATGTGCTTGCTGGAATGTTTCATGAAAAAAAGCTGGTCAGCACCACAGTGAAGCTACCTTGAGTTTGGAGGCATCAGGGTACATGGTTGGTGGGAGTGGGAACTTAGAGGTCAGGGAAGGGGTTAATGAGCTTGAGTGCGTCCATTTTCTGTTGTCCAGGAGGATACTGGTCTTTAGGAAGCAGAATGACCTAATATCAGAAAAAGAGGTCCCGTGTGATATCTCAGATCAAACAGCCAGAATAAATTAATTTTCGGTCCAAGACTTATATTGTGCCTGTGCACAGGAGGTGTCCTTTTCTATCCCACAACTGCTTTGTGTAGACAGTCCCACCTAATGAGGGAAAAATGAAGCACCCAGCTATTTACCTGGCTTATAGTTGGTAAGCTAAGTAGTATGAGCCTCCTGTTATGTCCCTCTGGAACAGGGCATAACAGAGGAAAAAAAGGCTGGGAGAGTTGGCATGATCTTGGGCAAAGACTGATACAAAGCCAATATATTTGTGACAGATAAGATTTGCACAGATAAGATCTTACATTTAAATAGCACTTCTTATTCAAAGGGGTCACTGAAGAAATGATATGCACACAAGCTTTATCTCTACTGGAATGGTGTTCCCCGAGGCAGTGCTGAGAAACCATTCAGAACAGCATCACTTGGTTTATCAGGACAGGAATTGAAGAATGCTTGCTTCTTGCTTAAACTTCCAAAGTGACTAAGCTCTGGAAGTACAAACAGTAGCTCTTTGCCTGTCACCAAGTCACTGGGAATAGGCCTTTTCCCAAGAGCAGCCACAGAGTCTTTGATGATGACTCTAGTTTGGGCTGTGTGTGTGAAGTCACATTCAAGCCCTAGTCCCTGAAATAGTGCAGTGCCCTAAGCTCTGCTGCCTCGCTGTTGAGTCAGACACCACTTCCTGCAGAGCTCAGGTTCTCCTGTGGGATCTCTGCTCAGCACTGCCCACACCCTGTCCTGCTGTGCTCTGAGAAGGGCAAGGCATAGCCTGGGGCCAGGTGGTTGCCAGCTGTGCTTATGGTTTTTGTTTCTAAGGCTACCAAAATGATGCTTTCCCATCCAAAAAGCAGCTAGATGACTCTCCCTCCATCCCCTTTTCTTGCTTGTGCACAGTTATACTGGTCAGGACCTGCCTCTGAGTAATCTCCTTGCCTTCTCTGAAGAGGGTGTCATCTTAGAAAGTGTGACATGTGGTTTTGGTGCAAACTTATGAAAAATGTCCTTAAATAACCAAGACAGTTGTTGAAATCTTATTCCTTAGAGCTGTAGTCTCCAAAACTTTTGACATTTTGGCATACTCCTTTTGCTTGAAAGTTGCCATTTTAGGAAGAACATCCTTAGTACATCCATTGTGTAAACATTATCCATTATTCCAGTGCCCCATTCAGGAATTTTTTCAGCTGGGTACTTCTGATACCTGCAGGAATGTCCTTACACTGTTCGTTGTCACTTCACTAAGATGGTGTCTGTAAGGAAACATGATCCAAGATGTTTTAGATACTTAACCTGTGCAGTGATGTTAACAAAGAGAGCAGCTGCAGGTATGTAGTACTTGATGCCATTCCCTCTTGTCCTGTCTCTTGTTACCTGGGAGAAGAGGCTGAGCCCCACCTGGCTACTGTCGGGTAGTTGTAGAGGTTGATAAGGTCCCCCCAAGCCTCCTTTTTCCAGGTTACACACCCACAGCTCCCTCATCACTCCTTGCAGGACTTGTTCTTTAGACCCTTCACCAGCTTTGTTGCTCTTCTCTGGACATGCTCCAGCATCTCAACGTCTTTCTTGTAGTGAGAGGCCCAACACTGGATCAGAATGAAAGAAGAGTGAAGATGTGACAGAATCAGCACCATTCTATACCTTTATACTGTGGTAATGCAATGGAGAAACATCGACTCCAGTACAAAGAGTCTTTTTCCTGACATCTCCTGCTCTGAAGATGCCAATTCCTAGCACAGGAGTCAGGGCCAACCTGTTGCCTGTAGCTCGTTTCTGCCATGGAGGTGACAAGAAGGCAGTTCCTGCATTGAACCAGCTCCATTCCCAGCCATTATATTCTCCACACTGGAGAAGTGGCCACAGGCCATCTGTTTATCAAAGCAATGATGAAGGAAGCAACTCCATTCTTCATAGTCCGAGCCGACAGAAACAGCCTGTTCTTTGTTGTAATCAAGAAACATTCCAGTTGGACAGTCCGGGTTTCAGATACTAATTTCTCCAAAGCATCTGTAGTCCAAGAAAATCTCTCCAAATGAGAAGATGCTGTACCACAACTGACCTGTTCATATTTTAAACAGTGTAATCATTGACACTAGAGGTATATTGAAAAATTTGGTGATTAAGACTGAGTTGTGATATTTATACCAGATTTTATACAGCTATAAAATCTACAGCTAATATTTCTGCCATAGATTGCACTCACAATACAAGTGCAAGTGGTTTCTTAAAAAGCTGAACAAAGGGGAAAATGGGAGAGTGGAGGCAGGGGGATGTTGCTCAAGAGGGTTCAGAACATTAGAATGGAAAAGCAACAAAAGCAGCACTAAACTCCCAAGCCAGTGGAAAAGTTGAAATATTGACATAATAATTGACATAGCTAACTTAAAAATATCATGTCAGCTGTTAACCATTCCAGTGCTGAAAAACAGTATTCAGTTCTTGCCTCAGAAGTTGAACACTCCAGTGATGATGATGATGATTGTGGCTGAGTAGAAGCAGCAAAGAGGTCTTGTACTAGAACATACTCAGAATCAGTACTTTGAGAAATTGAGTGTTGAAGGAGGACCTGAAAGACACAAATATTTCATGTAGAATTTTTACAAAAATACTTTTAGATAATGTTTATACTGTACAGAACTAGACTTTTAAACAATATCTGTTGCTAAAATGTTCATCTAAATACTAGAAAGGCAAATGTGCAACCAACCCCTTAGGAATATTCACCAGTTTTGCACTCTTACCTTTCTGGACAAGAAGTGTCAGGACAGTTAGAACATCAAGCATGGAAAGTGAGAAAAGAGCCAAGGTTTAGGGAATGTTTTCCAGAACGTTTGTGTCATCACAAGTGAAATATCGTCAAACAAAACTTGGTCAAAAATGTGGTGTAGTAGGTCTGGGTTTTGTAGTTTTGCAACAGTGGGGAAAAGTACAGGTTAGAGACCATGGTCACTGCCATGGGAAGGGGTACAGCCTGTTAGAAGTTATGTAAATGAAAGAGTGATTTTAATAGATCAATGAAAAGTTTTACGTGTGCAGAATTGAGAAAGCCTTGGAAAAAATCTGCACTTTTAAAGTGCATTTGCTGTTTACAAAATATAGCTAATCTGAGTGAGTGGGAGCAGTCAATATTGAACATAATGATGAAGAGTAAAAAGAGAAGCTATTTGTATTTCACAACTCTCTTGCCACTGTTTTAGAAGAAAATATGAACCTTACATAAGGAAGCAAGCTAAACAAAAAATATGAACATATTCTTTTTTGTTGTTGTTGCTTCCAGGACAATATGGTGCTTAGCACAAAATTATTTAAAATATTTTTATATAGTATGCCTACTGAATACCTGAAGCATACAGTTTATATCTGTAAAATATTATCCACGCTAACATTTTCATTACAATCCTCTATTTCAGTGAAATCTCTGAAGGTTGATCAAAAAACTGGGAAATGGAACTGTCCAGCCCATATAGTTTCTTCCCCTTTCTCTGAGGAAGCTCCTCTTTCTTCTCCCACCTCTTGCATCTGATGGTGTAATAACTGTGGCAAGTTCAGCAGAGTCCCAGGGAAGGTTCGTAATTCAGATCCACAAAAGCCAGACTGTGTAAGTCACTTGCTGCTTGCAAGTCTGGTGACAAGCACGGTGGCCATGGTGTTATTTCTGTGGTGTTAGGAGTGCATCAGCGTGCCAGAACTGGGCACAAGGGTTGCAGGCTGTAATGGTGAGTGGATGGGGATGCTTGTAAGGAAAACCTCAAGCTGTCATTAAATATTAAATACTGTGTGAAACTGTTAGGAAGGACGGTGGTTACCCAGTGGAGGTGAGGGCAGGTAGAACCCACAGGGTCTGTGGAAGTAGATAGGAGTGGGTTGAGTTCAAGAACCATCCCCATGGAGGGCCAGAGAAATAGCCACTCTGGTGCAAGGCCCAGGCAGGGGTTGCTTTAACTCTGTTCTCATTTGGCAAATCCTTTGTTATTGCGGGGGCCTGGATTACATGTGGGCAGCACCATTTCCCTCTCCTGCTCCCTCCTTGTGGGACCATAGGTGTTGTCTCTCCTGTTAAAGACTGTCAGCTCCCTGAGAGGCTGGGGAAGTGTTTGGGCATAGAGCTGAAGAGTCCTGGGACAGAAGCTCTGTGGGCACCAGTGGAGAAAAAGCTTTGTTGTAAAGCTTCCTGCAGTTTTAGAGAGAGTGGTGTTGGTGGCTGCCATGTCCTCTCCTCACTCTGTGTGTGCCGTGGAAGGCAAAGTTGCAGAGAAGAAGAAAATGAGCAACTGACTCAGCTTTGTTTATGGCCTTCCCTAGTGCAGCTGGCTGGAATGGTGTGGGTCTCCTGCTTGACTCTGGTACTTGCTTGTTTTGATGGTGTCTGGGCTTGGGACCCTCAGATGTACAATGTAGTGTCCATGCCATTGGTGTCCTATGTCCCACAGCGTAGGAAACAGTGCCTGCTAGTAGACTTAATGAGTTCATTCATTAAAGCATGTTTTGGGGAAATTAGTACATGACAGCTTTTCCTATTGTCTTCCTGGGCACATCTGTGGAGTCCATCTCTGTGGCACAGAGAGGAAGTTCTCCTTCACTGGGTGGTGTTGAAATTGCTGTGTTGTATTTTTTGTCCAAACACCCATTACCACAGTGTCTGAACAACTGTGAGGAGCTGCTGCACCAGGATGTGGTCAGGCTCAGAGGCACACAGGCTGATGAATATCACATTCTACCTCTTTAATTGCCACCCCACACAAATCTTTTTTTGGCAAATAAATCGAGGAGGGAGGCTGGTGCATGATTCATTATCATAATGCTCAGTACAGGGAAGGCAGGAGCGGGCAGGTGGAGACAGGACTTTCAAATGCTGTGGGAGGAGCTCCCTTTGCAGCTGCCTAGAGTTGACCAAAGCTTTCTTTGAGGCTGGTGGTAGGTTTCCTGTTCCACATCTTACTGAAGGAGCTGGAGCAGCAAAGCCCAATATTTTTCATGTAGGGTCTCGCTGTCATCACCTCTTGCCTGCAAAATGGGGTGATGGTGTCTGGCCACATTGGCACCCAGTGATGTACAGTAACCAGAAAAAAACATGTGTGAGGCCTAAACTCACCTTTGCTTGCAGCTTTTGTTTCTGTTTGACAAACAACTACAGCTAAACTAATAAATTGGAAATTAAATATTTCATATGGAAATATTTAAAAAACAAATGTGTGGTAGTGCTCTTCCCTGCAGATAGCTGGTAAAAGCATTGCTAGGTGAGGCTCAAGACCCAGTTCCAAATCCCCTCTCTGTGTTTATATGCAGAATCTGGATCTAAAAGTCCCCGATGCCACAGGAGGGCCTTGTCAGTTGACTGTGGGATGTTTTGTAATGCATTTTTCTGCTTTTCTAGCCAAGTCCTTGTGGAGGTGGGTGCAGTCACAGGGGACAATCTGTCACCAGTCTGAAGAATGACTAGGCCATCTCCAGTGTGCTGGAACAGCTGTCACTGGGCAGTCATGCCATTGCAAAACATTCTGTTCAGCTGCGTGTACCTTACTCATAAGTAGATGTTCCTTTTCCTCTAATTACCTCAGTGCTGTTGTTACTCCCAAGCACCTTTGGAAGACTAGTAAGTAGTAATAACTACTGATACTTGTGGGAGAAATCAAGGTTAATGCATAGCTCGTTAGGAGAGCTCCAGGAGGAGCACAGAAAGGTGGTTTTGTCTTGTACAAAGCATAAAGCTCCCGTGGGTGAGTCTGAATGCAGGCTCAGAAGACAAGCACTTTGGTTCCTGGGTATTGGATTCTGTGTGGTCAGAGAACGGCAGAGCAATACTTAGAAGATGAGCCTCTGTGGTTTGTTTTACTTCTATATTTATTTTGGTTTGCTAAATATCTGTATAAGACATAGTGTGGCCAGCAGGACTAGGGAAGTGATTCTTCCCTTGTGTTCAGCACTGGTGAGGCCACCCCTTGAATGCTGTGTCTGATTCTGGGCCCTCAAATTCAGAAGGGGCATTGAGGTGCTGGAGCAGGTCCAGAGAAGGGCCAGGGAGCTGGTGAAGGGTCTGGAAGAAAAGTCTTATGAGGAGCAGCTGGGAAAGTTGAAGGGGTTTAGCCCCGAGAAGAGGAGGTTTGAAGACACCTTGTCACTCCCTACAACTACCTGAAAGGAGGCATTAGATGGATAGGGGTTGGTCTCTTCTCCCAGGCAACCAGCAACAGGACAAGAGGACATAGTGTTAAGCTGAGCCAGGGCAGGTTTAGGTTAGACATTAGGAAGAGTTTCTTCACAGAAAGGGTAATTGGGCACTGGAATGGGCTGCCCAGGGAGGTGGTGGAGTCACTCTCCCTGGAGATGTTTAAGGAAAGGCTGGACATGGCACTTAGTGCCATGGTCTGGTTGACATGGTGGACTCCATGACCTCAGAGTCTTTTCCAGCCTACTTGATTCAGTGATTCTATGATATCTAGAAGTTTTTGAAACAAAATGTAAGTTCCAAACTGGTGTTGAGTCAAGCCCTTGGTCTGGCTGTTGGTATGTGGAAATGAGCTGGAGTGGTTAGGTGGGCTGTATCCCTCCAACTTGGTTTGTGTGCCATACCTCAGACCTCTTTCCTTGTGAGGAGTTCTGTGTCTCCCCGTTGTGCAGAGGCAGCAAAATGAAAATCAGAGTGAGCTGCACCTTTGCACAACACAGTTGCGTGAGGAAGTGTTTCTGGGCAAGAACACAGTGGGATGCTTTTGTGTTGCCACTGGAGCCCTTGGGTTTCTTTCTGCTTTTTTCCTTACTGATGGTGAAGACTCTCGTCTTGTGATTTTTAACATAGATGTGTGAGTGGCCTTGTGTGCTGCTTGGAGCCTGAGTCTTCAACACCACTTCTCAGTGCTGCCATGCATGGCCTTCTGGGGCTCCCTCCTTCTGGAAAGTGTGTGACTGTGTGTGTTTTGATGTGTGAGGGTAGCACAGGTGATACACACTCAACCATAGCTTCTGAAAGTGCAGCTCTGGGGCTTCCTGGCTGCACATCCGATCCTTCTCCTCCTTTTCCCCTTCTCTAAGATAAGAACAGGCTCTCATACTGCTGTCCATCCATGTGATGTTTTTGCTGAGGCTTGCTCTAGTCTGTGGCATTAAAAAACTAGGAAGGACATCCCCTCATCACTGTGCTGGGGCAAGAACACAGTTGTATTCACATAGAACTCTTGCAGTCTGTTTGTAAGACATGATATAATTGAAAAGTCTGGCACATTTCCCACAGCAAACATTGTTAATCCCCACTAGCTAGGATTAGTCACCACTTCTTACAAGCCTTGACACAAATCTAGCAAGTTATTCAGTTAATCCGCACTTACAGGATAAATATTGCATCCCATGGGAAATTAGGCAGCGTCTTCTTCCTCTCCTATTGTACAGTGATGCATTGTGCCCTTTACACCTGAAGGTGGAAGGGAAAAATGCAATAATGTGTGATGGATGTTAGCAGACACCTGCTATCACAATGCAGATGGATCAGCAGGGAAATTTAGTACAAAATAGCTCACTGAAACCAGGCAGGGGATATAAACAGCATCTCTGTGCTCTTCATGGCGCTGCAGAATTTTCCTGTTATGCAACAATAAGCACTCAGAGCTGCAGGACTCTTCTAAGTGTCCCATCTTCCTTTTGACTGGGAGTTTTCTCCTTGTGGGATCTCAAGCTGTATCTCATTGGAGTTGGATGGTGTGTTTCCCACCAAACTGAGGTCACTGAGGTGAAGGTGTCTCAGCCTCTGCACTTTTGCGGTATCCAAAGTGCAGCTCCAAGTTTCCTCGTGGACAATCTCCAAAACAGCAAGATGATACTTAGTAGGTGACTTGAGATCCTATTTTTCTGAGAAAAATAGCTGAGT